AAATGACCCAGAAAATCCAAATGTGGATTTCCATTATAATGATCCTGCAAGGTTGCCATCTTGGCGAGATCTATCAATGAGCAATGAAAAGTACTAGCCTGGTCCATTACTGCTATCACTTTTGTTTTTGTGTGATTCTTAAACGTCATTTTCACATAATAATCTTTTTTTCTTGTGATCAACATTTCCAAGATCTGGCCCTCATTTCATCTCTGTTGATGTCGCGTGATTTTGAAATTTCACCGAATTATATGGATGCCAAGGCTGTCATATAATTGAGAGCCAGACCTTGTTTTTCTGGTGAGGACTTTGATATCTCGTAGAAGTTACATATTCCTACTTTTGCATGACCATAGACTTGAGAAAGGAATTGGGAGAGCAAATAAAAATAATCAGAAATCAGTGCAATACTTTATCCTACACTGAATTTTGACAGTGATATTGCTTGAAAATTTTGGGCTACTAGCTGCAATGTTCGACACATAACAAACGGATAGCTTCAAAAGAAACGAACTTTCTTGTATTTCTAGTGAGCAAATAGTTTTCCTATGAGATGACTATATCCGAGGGACACTTGCGTGAGGGAGGGAAAAAAAATCACACAAATACATAACCAAAGGTCATATTCTTTTCTTCTTTTGGTAAACACCTCTCCTTTTTTCTTTGGTGAATCTACTCTCAAGACATCGCTAACAAGTGATTCTTCAGTGAAATGTAATCCATGGAACTTTCTGTTTGGTGATGGAATAGCAAGGCTTTTTCTTAGCAAATAGGTATCCTATTTATACTTAAGTGAAAAGGGGATTAAGGTAAAATAAAAACAGAAGATTTGGACCAAAAGTAAAAAGATCAACGGAAAATGAGCCAGCTAATACATGTACGGACAATTGAAATTACAGGGAAGAGTTTCTTGTGGGGTTGGCCCACTCTTCATGTAATTGCTGTACAATCAAAATTTGGTAGCGTGTGATGCTTTGTCAAAAAGAAAAAGGGCTTCGCACACCCTGGAAAATAAAGAAGGACATGTACTTAAACAGTTAAAACCTAATAAAGCAGAGGCGAATCAAAGAAGGGGCAGGAAAATGGAATACAAGCCACCAAGTAGAAAAAGAAAGGGGAAAGGGCAAAACAAAACAGTGAAAGGGACAAAAAGGAAATGGGCCCTGAAGCATGGGAAGTAAAGGAGAGAAGGAGATGCCAAAGTGATGATGATAATTCACAGTAAGTACACACACATGCATATATATTATTATCACTAACATGAACACATGGATTCCAAACCAATTCCCCACTATGCAACAAATAATTTTTCATCATTAGACCACGCCACCCATTGCTCCCTTTTTGTCATTTTAGTCCTTCCCAGAGGTCAACTTTCATCTAACACTACACACATTATATATGGGCCCATCAACACCATTTCACCCTCCACTATTCTTTCTCTGGATTACAACCATTATCCCTTCAATGGGTTTTTCCCACCATCGGTCATTCTCAAAATTATTTTGTTCCTCTCACTCTTCACCGTCACCAGCACAGAAAGGACTAGTCTTTCTTTCTTTTTTTAAAAAAAGGTTTCTTTTTGAAATTTTACCTTTACCCCTTCCTCTCGCATTCTTTCCTGGTTGATTGTTGCTTGAAATACTTAATTCCTCTGCCAAAAATACTGATACCTCATTAAAAGTCAAGCCTAAATTTTCTTCTCTAATTATTTCACAGCCCCACTTCAACTAATTTTTCTAATTTCAGGATAGTTTCGTATCTTGTTAAGAAATAAAAGAAAGCAGATGCTCATATTAATTAACCATCATCAGTTCCTTCAACCACTTACGTGTCTGCGTGTGTAACAGCAGAAAAAATATCATCTGTACGCTTCAAGAATCTAAATAAAGATGACCTAACCATGTGGCTGCAACAAATTTTTTATGCACAAAACACTTCTTATAATTAAAAGCGCATGTAAGAGCAGACAGACACACACACACATATCTTGGTGGACGCCACTATGAATTTCTTCTTAAGGATCAATAATACAACTAAATAGTTGGTTTCATTCTGTGTGCTAGGCTTGCTGCCTTTAAGGATACCTGTTATAGGAAACCAAGATCGCTTTCTGTGATTCTTCTCTGTAGGATTCCACCATCTAAACGTTATTTGAAAACAAGACCCAAAAGGCTAATAATCACAATGGAGTGGGCGATATTCTTTTCTGCTTAATTAAATTATTGATGCAGTATAGAACAAGTTCATGCATTAGCATTGGTATATAAACTATTATAATTATAACCACCCTGGAAATGTTTTGATACACCCACTAAAGGGAATATCTCATGAGACTGATCATTCATTCGTGCTTCGACACGAAGCATTTTGGCGAATCCTGACAAATGGAATGAAATGAGTTGTTAATAATGTGATTCATCTTTTGCAAACTCTATTTATCTTCTTTTTATATCCAAGTGCTTTATTTTGCGCAGCAGATAGATTTAATATCTGAATAGCGAGGTCAATATCTTTTGTATCTGGATTTAAATTAATTACCTCCTTTTTTATGAGCCATTGGTGCTTGGTGGGTTTATAAATGCAGCTCACTACCAGCTGGGATATTCTTTTACTTATTTGTTTGATCACTTATTTATTGATCAATGCGGTGATATTTTTTTCAGTGTTAGTGATTATTTGTTAGATTTGAAATTTGATACTTCGTTTTTTTTTTTTGGCCCAGGATACTACGTTGTTGTTGTTGTTATTGTTGTTATTATTATTATTATTATATGAGAAGGATGCTATGTTCTTTAAAACTGAATAATTTATCTGTTCGTTGCATTTTTTATGGCCGCCAAAAATGACTGGGACGCGGATTGACCGGAATTGTAAATTAGGGTGGTGTGAATTCTGTACAATGCATGAAAGAATCTCCTGCATTTTTTTGTTATTTGAATTAAATCTTACTCTTTTATCTGATTTTTTTTAAAGGCTTACACTGAGATATTCGATATAGGTTAAACATATATCATCAGCTAGTCACTAAGTTGTCCATGCATGTCTGTTGGTAGAAATTTGGCTATAAAATCCAAAATCTTTCTGATAAGATCTGCCATTCTCAACTGCCAAATTATGATATTATTTGACATAAACGGGCACCTCTTTTTTTAGAGAGAGAGAGAGGGAAGAAACACGGCAGAAAGAGGTTGAGAATGAATTATTATTAAGCCCAAAAGTTGCGTCTGATTTGAGACATTAGTTTAAAATTAGTCGGTAGGTTAGAGTCATGGACGGTTGTTGAGAGTTCGGACAATAATAAGCCATGGTGGATTATTTGGCCATCTTCAGAACTTGGGATTTTCAAACATTTACTTATCATTAGTCTACTCAACCCTTGTTCGTACTATTAACTTGCTTTTAATGTAAACCATACATATTACAAATTATTTCTTCTATTCCTTTTTATAAAATAAAATATATACCCCTCTGATTTTCAAGATAGGCCAAGCTCCGAAAGCTTTCTCAAAAAAACAAAAATTTTTAATCCTTCGTTTAAGATAAGGTTAGAGTAATTTTTAAGTTTTATTCTTTATTTATTATAGTTTGAATTAGTTGTAGTTATTAGCTTTCAAGAAGAGCAAAATTATATTTTCAAAACAATAAAATTGATTATCATCTTTAATCTTTAAAACTATCTCATCTTCTCAAGAATATCCTTAATTTAGTTTTTTTTTGTCTTACACACACTTTTTCTCTTTTAATCAATTAAAAGCACTATTTTTAAGGTGTAATTTAAAAAAAATTATCGATAACTACATAAATTATGTGAACTGCCTTTTGAATAAAAACGTTAAAACCCAAGTTATCTCGTGAAAAGGAATGGAGGGATTTCTTCAAATGTTGCCAATCTTGTCCGATGATCTCAATATTTGGACACCATTTAAGAAAACACGAACACGCTCTATCTCTATCTGTTACGCATTATGAGATTTTTTTTTTTTTTTTGTGAAATATGTATTAAAAATATAAGATTTTATTATTTTTAAATGTAATTAATTTGATTTTTTTAAATGTCCTTAATTAAAGGTGTGGTTAAAAATAGTTTTTAATCAAGACAATCTATTAAATAATAATAAATATAAAAAAAAATGTAACATTTAAATATTATTAACTAATTTTAAATGGAGAGAATGTGTGCACACAAAATTGCTAATTGAGTTGTTTATTTATTTGAAAACATCTCCAGACGACACACAGCTATAGGGTGCTTGGAGAGGTTTTTAACCAAGATACTATATAATGGAAAAGAAAATACAAAAATGCTACATTGTGAGAATTATTTTTCAAAATACTACATGTAAAATCGTGCAGGGGAGAACGACTTTTAAAATTCATCAAATTAAGAACGATTTCCTCAATACATCATTTGTCTCCCTCCAAAACTTGTTCTTGAAAAGAATGATTTATCAACTTCATCCGCCTTGTCCCATCATATAATTTGTGTAATAATTTAGTAATCATTTAAACAAAAATAATGAATAAATAATTGTTACTGATTAAAAAATTATTATGTGGTGCATTAAATAAAAAATTAATAATAAATAATTATCAGGTTTTATAAAAATTAATAATGAATGATTAAGTTATATGAATTAAAAGTGAAAATTAACTATATGTCTACATCTACAATTAAGAGAAACTGAACATACAAAACATTAACGACTAGATATTAAGATTTTACTAAAAAATATAAATTTCAATATAAAAGTTGAAAAAATATATTAAGAAAGTGTACTTTAATTAGATGAAAAGTCAGGTTTCAAATAAATAAAAGGAAGAAAATATACTTTAAACTTTGATCATAACACTAACAGAATCAATTAGAGTAGAGAAATGGATTAAAAAAAAATATTTTAAAGTTTAAATAAGAGATAAATGAGAGAGCACGAAAAATATAGAAATGAGAAGTGCGTGAATAAACTAGGTAAATAAAAACAAATAACATTATATTCAATCTCGCTAACATAAAAATAAAATGAAAAGAATAGGAATTACCTTTGAATAGACTAGAGAAGTCTTGCAATATCTACCCTTAATCTCACTACCATTGTCTTTATGTCTTCAATCCTTTACATAGCTAGTAAAAACGCATACACATGAATTTTCTAATCCCACATGTGAAAAGTGAAAGCTGGGGAATTTCTTAACAAATGAAGAAGAATTTGACAAAACGATCAAAGGAGAAAAAAAAGCAAATATTTAAAATAAAATGTCACATCAATAAAAATAAACTTAATGTAATTTCACTTTTCATGAAAAAAAATTTCTTACTTTAAAATTATTTTAGATGAGAATGATTTTTTCTGAAGTTTAAATTTGTTCTCTATCTGAATGATTTTTGGTACAGTATTTTAATAAATATTTTTCACTTTGCGGCATTTAGATAATTTCTTTTAATATGTGTAGTAACTTGGTATTCATTTAGTAAGATAAATGTTTATTGTTGTTGTTGTATAGTAACTTGGTAAAAAAGCCAAGTGAAGGAGATGGGAGGCAGGTCCATTAGCATTCTGATCACATGTCCAGTCGTTAGGATGCCAGTGTGTAACACACCAAATTTTTTTTTTTTTTAAAATAATTTAACTCAACCATAGTTGGGTTACAGCCACCCAACACATTTTTATATCAATAATTTTGATATAAAATATTTTATAATTGGCTTCAACTCACACACTATAACATTTCAGATAAATTTTTACCTCCCACATGCCATTAGGCTAAATCACATTTGTCCATCCTTATACTCCCAACAAGTAAACTAAATTACATTTGTCCATCCTTATACTCCCAACAAGTAAAATAAGCAATTTAATCAATTTTCAACACAAGCCAGTTATTTGACCTTATAATCATGCCATTTTAACCAATCCAAAATAAACCAAATATTAAAATTACAGTCATCCAAATTGTACCAAAAATAGAAATAGTTTGAAAGGCATGATTACATTTATATATTCATATAATTGACAATAAACATAAAAAAGTCCTAATATTGGCAATATAACACATTATAAATCATAAATTAAATATCCAAAAGAGACAGTGGATCTATACCACTAAGCCTCTGGGACTCCTCTACGTGTCACTCGTGGCTCTTCTCCTGAAAATTGTTAACCACATAATGAGACTCAAAAGTCCCAGTAACCAAAGCCAATTTATGATAGTGTATACAAACAGTTAAGTGTGTGCTTACTAAGTGAGAATTAAAAATAATATAATTCCAACAAATATAAGAAATATTATAATAAACACAAACAACCATCCTTATATCCCTCCATTAACCTCGAGCCGTAGCCCTCACTCGGTGCTAAATTACCCGGCCAAAGGTAGATTAGCCCGAGCCCTTACAAACCACCTATTGAGCTCTAATAGGGGCATACCACGTGGCACATAAATACAACAATAATAGCAAGTCTCCCAACACCTCCCACAATAATTAAACAAATTCATAATAATATTGCACAATTATACAATATTACAAAATTCATAATTTTCTCAATAATCACCCAATTAACAAGAAGTAACACTAATCATAAATTAAAAGCATGGTTACCTTGTGGCTTTTTCAATAAATTATTCCTTAAAATTTCTCTCTCTCCACAATCTTCACCAGTAATACAATCTACAAATAACATATTATTTATAAATATTAGTTTCAATTTTTGAAACTAATAAAATAATTCTAATAATAGAATTAAAAATATAACATAATTTCTAATCTCAATCTTAATACAAATCTATAGTTAATACTATTAAGTAAAATTTTTAACTCCTCTTTTAATTATCAATAAACATTAATAATCTAAAAATCAAATTTTAAACTAATTTCTATTATCAAAATTTTTTTTTATTTTATAAATTCGTACCTAAAATACCCAAAAATTAAAAATTGAGTCTCTAGCTTAGAATCATAATTCTATAACCATAATAATTCATTTCTCATCCCAAATAATCATCTAAACCTCAATAAATCAACATATATTTTCAGATCTAGTTTAGAATTTGATCCATAAGCCACAGATTCAAAGATCATCAATAAATTTATACTCTAGAACATTTATTATACTACTGACAACCTCAAAAATCATATTTATTCAACATAAATTCATCCCTCTTCCAGATCTTAAATTTTCTACCACTACAAACTCAGAAACTAAATAAGAAGGATGACTAAGAAAAATTTTTAGAACACTTACTTAGTCTTGAAAAGCTTAAAATCACACCCTAAATATCCTATTAAAAACTCTTACCTTAAAAATTTAGATATTTCGCACCGGAAACTCGCTTCTCTCCGCCTCAGCTCGCGCGCAGAATGAATGAGGAAATGAAGGAAGGTGAGTTTTTATAAAAATTCAGTGGGTCCCACACATTTTTTTTTTATTATTTTCTTCTTCTCTCTCTTCCCCCCTTTTTTTTTATTATTATTTTATACTTACTATTCATGTGGTGCCGAAAGCAAATTCGTTTTCTCTTCTTCTTCCTTTTTTTTTTTTTTTTTGTTTTGGCATACCTTTTTCCCTTTTTTTTTATTATAATAATAATTTAATAATTAATTTTTTTTAATTAATTTTTTTTTAATAAATTTATTTTTTTTTTAAATTTTTTTTTTATTTAGAATTATATCCTAAATTAGATTTAATAATCATTTTCTACTAATTTTCTTACCTCTAAATATTATTTTTTTTTTTTAAAAAAAAAATTTCTATTAACCTAAATTAACTATTAAAATTTAAATTGGGATGTTACACAGTGAAACTACCTAGGGGAAGGAAGCTTCACCATAACGTGCAAATTAAGATCAAATAATCTCCTTACGTCTTTAAAATATACGCAGGAAAAAAAATGGTCATCAACTGCGAGAAAGACAAGGAGTGGCATAATTGGGGTCACAATATACCTCCTTTTGAGAGAAGCACTTGAGTGGGTGCTTGAGTATTTGTTGTATTTGATAACACCATTTAACTTTCTTCGCTTGCTGCTATAATTGGTTTAGCCTTTAATTAAACATATAATCCATTGGTAGAATAATGCCATGCCTGCTATGGTCATAGTACAACCACCTCCAAAATTCATCTCTCCTTGACTTTGAAATCTACTTTAATGGATTAGCGTAAGCAGATAAAATTTCTTCATTAGTGGATGACTTGCTGCAGGCCAATATATTTCTAAGATTACTTGTCATAACCTGGTTAAATCCCCAGAGAAAGTGTGAGTCAGAAGTTACTTTATCCATTTGTATTTACTATTCTCCCATTTATAGGTTTCCAGATATGTAATGTACGTATTCTTCTTGTTCCTCATGAACCACACCATGGTCCTTCAGTTCAGTCCCTTTCATTAATGCCTCCCTAAACTCGTGGACACTTTCTCAATTTTCAGCCCCCAAGAGTATATCAGACACATCCTTCTCATGAAGTAATAAAGTTTCTGCACCTGTTTTCTTACTGCAATTAACTAAGGAATTTCAGGACTAGTTTCCCCATGAAAATATACATACCAAATGCAGAGATCTAAAAAAAATGGAAATAAATGTAACCCCACAAAAGAAGAAACTAAAAAAAAAAAAAAGTCGATCTTAAATCTTTTTAATGATGCCCCATTTTGCAAGCCAGCTCTTTCCCATGCTCGACAAGTGCCCGTGGATACAGAGCACTTCAGAGAACAGAGCCTGGTATGTAAAAACTGTACGACAAGCGTGTGAAGGGAGAAAGAAATCCAACATGCACCTTTTTCCCTTTACCTGTGACAACCCATATTTTAATTTAACTTCCTGCTAAAGAAATTTTAAAAGCTGCCATTAATTTCCCTTAAGTATTGATCTAATTATTGACTGACACCAATTTTTTATGCGAAATAGGGCAAAAAATATATTCCAGCTTCGGGGAATTTTCAGTGTCAGAACTCCAGTCGCGTTATAGTATTTTAGCTAAATAAAGTAGAAGACTTGATGACCTTATATTCTTAGTTAAATTGAAAGCGTAATTTAATTTAAGCGCTGCTTGCCAGTCTCTGGATGAATCAATTAACTGAAAGTTTTAATCAATTCTGATTTAAAATAGTCGTTGTCCCTAAACAAATTGTATATTTCGCCGTCCTTTTCAGTAAAGAATCAAATTTTGGAGCATACCCAGATTTGTCGACGATTAATTTGACACGTATGTCGAACATTACATTGGTTCTCTCATTTTCATTGCATAACTAAACGTTCAGGGTTCATGACATGTCACAAGGTTCTAACGAAACCGATAGCTTAGATATTAATTGAGATCTGTGATATGCCTGCAACGTTCAAGGTTTCAAACTGTTTAAAGGTAGTAGACTAGGTTTAATACAATCCTTGATGTCTTTTTACCATTTTTAATGGTTTTTCAAAAGAGATAAAACAAAGCAGGCTTGCAAAGTTGCTTTTTTAATTGATTTTTAGTTGTTCTGCGTATTATTATTATTTTTTCTTGATGTCTTTTTTAATTGATTTTTAGTTGTTCTGCGTATTATTACACATTGTTTTTAATTTGTTTTTGGTCGCCTCCCTTGCTTCTGAGCAGAGAAAACCGGCGCACTCTATGGAGACGGATTCAGAAGTGTAAAGCCTCAGACAAGCAAAATTCGCCTTTTTAGCGAATTAACTTGCAGTAAAAGCCAAACCTGAAGAATGGAAAATCGACAGTCATTAAATTTTAATTTTTGAATAAAATTTATGAATAATTAAAAAAGCGAAACAATATTTAATGATCCGTTCTTTTATGGAGTATACTTCGAATTTGTTCCAGTCAAAAACCAATCTTCAAGTTTTCACAGTGTTCTTTGTCGGGTGGAGGAAATGAAAACGAAACTTTCTCTCTCCTATCCTCTTTCTTCCTTTCCCATTCCCATCCCTCCGAAATTTCTCTGTCTAGGTTCTCACCATCCGTCGCTTTCGGTGTTTTTTACAAAATTAAGCGAACTGGAACAGTAACCCTCTGCTGCTAACCCTTACAGCTTCCCCACTCATTCAACATAGTCCGTCGCGACCAAGAATAAGGATGAGGAATGGAGAATGAGAGAGAAAATCATTAGAGGAAGGAAGAGAGCACTATTTAAAAAAAAAAAAAAACAGAGAGCGGAAAAGTTGGAAGCAGAAAGACAGGTAGAGAGAGTGAGATAATAGAGGTGTGGGGAGTGAGAAGCCCTTCATAAAAGCTTTGGAATTTTGCAAATGTCACAAGATTCTGTTGAGATAAAGACGATTGAGCAGTGGAGATGGTCGGAAATGCAAGGCCTTGAGCTCGTCTCTCCTGCTCCTATTTCTTACCCTCACACAACACCAACACAAACAGAGGAAAACAGAGAGGCGAAGCCAATGGAGGCGGTTCAGGAAGGAGAGAGAAGGGAAGTTGGAAGTCTCGCTAATGGCAGTGCTGGCGGTGGAAGTAGTAGCAGTAGTGGAGAGAAGCCGGAGAATATTCCGGCTGTTGGATTTGGCGAGCTTTTCAGATTTGCCGATGGGTTGGATTACATTCTGATGACAATAGGAACGGTCGGAGCAATCGTGCACGGTTGTTCCCTGCCTTTGTTTCTCCGGTTCTTCGCGGATCTCGTTAATTCTTTTGGGTCGAATGCCAATAATGTGGACAAGATGACCCAGGAAGTCGTCAAGGTAATGGGATTACGATTCATAATCTGATACATACTGATGTGAATGCGAATTGAAACTCTGCGTTTGTGGTATTTGTAGTACGCATTTTACTTCCTGGTGGTGGGTGCTGCTATATGGGCATCATCGTGGGCAGGTGAATTACTCTCTGAGACTGTGACTAAGGCTTTCTGGTTTGAGTTTCTATTTAGTGTTTGAATGTGATTAGAGAAGCTCCTACTTGTTGCAGAGATATCTTGCTGGATGTGGACTGGTGAGAGGCAATCAACGAGGATGAGAATCAAGTACCTGGACGCTGCCTTAAACCAGGACATCCAATACTTTGACACCGAGGTTAGAACATCTGACGTTGTTTTTGCCATCAACACTGATGCCGTCATGGTCCAGGACGCCATTAGCGAGAAGGTGAAGCAAACACCGTAACGAATTCAACCATTTTTCCTCTGTTTCGTTTCATTTGGTTTCACTACTGGAGTGTTTAATCCAAATTTTCTTGCTCTATGAGCAGCTGGGCAATTTCATTCACTACATGGCGACTTTTGTTTCTGGATTTGTGGTGGGTTTCACCGCCGTTTGGCAATTGGCTCTTGTTACCCTGGCCGTAGTCCCCATGATAGCTGTAATCGGAGGCATCCACACCACCACCTTGACCAAGCTCTCCGCCAAAGGCCAAGATGCTCTCTCTAAAGCTGGAAACATCGTGGAACAGGTAAGAGAAGGAATTAACGCAGATTGATGCTTCTTTTGCTGTTTTCCAATCTTCCGATTTATGTTGATACAGACAAAATTTTAACCTTCTGAGCATTATCTCTGATTCTGCATCTGGGTGTGTGTGGTTCGGATTGCAGACGATCGTGCAGATTCGAGTGGTACTGGCTTTCGTCGGGGAGAGTCGAGCATTACAGGACTACTCTTCAGCGTTGAAGGTAGCCCAAAAGATTGGCTACAAAAGTGGGTTCGCAAAGGGCATGGGATTAGGCGCCACCTACTTTGTCGTTTTCTGCTGTTATGCGCTCCTGCTATGGTACGGCGGCTACCTCGTCAGGCACCACTACACGAATGGAGGACTCGCCATTTCCACCATGTTCGCTGTTATGATTGGCGGATTGTAAGTACTACTGCGTAAAATTCCATTTCCATTCGTTTCAATGCGCCTTCGAATCAAATTATATACCTTTTTCACTGTTTCAATTCCAAAAGAGGTTTGGGGCAATCTGTGCCAAGCATCGCTGCATTTACAAAGGGCAGAGTCGCTGCCGCAAAAATTTTCCGAATCATCGATCACAAACCGGGTGTGGACCGTAATACGGATTCGGGTTTGGAATTAGAGTCGGTGACTGGGTTAGTTGAGCTCAAAAATGTGGATTTCTCATACCCGTCAAGGCCAGATGTTCGGATCCTCGATAATTTCTCTTTGAATGTGCCGGCCGGCAAGACCATCGCGTTGGTCGGCAGCAGTGGTTCCGGCAAGAGCACTGTCGTCTCTCTCATCGAGAGATTCTATGACCCCACTTCAGGTAAACTCGTCAATTAGATTTGCAGTAAATGCACAGTTTGACCACACATTCTTACGCATCAGTCAGTTTTTTAAAGGGAAACTTTTTGTTATATAAATTTATTCTATTTTAAAAATGGTTTATTTGTCCCATGTTAATACTAGTT